TAATACATTAGCCCTAATCAGTTAGGCAAAAACTAAAAACCCCTTTCTATTTCTTTCCTTGAAATTTTTAGCTGTCCTAATGTCTATCTTGTTTGGCCCGTTCAAATTTGTGTGATTTCCCTCTCTCTGCTTTGTCAAACTTAAATTAAGGCAATGATATCCTCCCTTATCATTCACCTATCCTAAAACTTATCGTTGTTCTTCATTTGCTTGTTACATTCCGTTTCCTCTTGTTTTATATACAGAGGATGTCAAAAAAAATGTACTATTATTATTGACATTCAAAATTCAAATGAAACGGAAGGCATATGGTGACAATTACTCTGTGAGTTTCAACGTCAAGAACTGACTGAATTAAGACAATTCATTCGGAATATTCGTGGCATCTTCTCTTCTTTATTCTTCCTCAGTTGTTGCTTCATTTCATTGTAAATTTAACATTCTACCAATCCTCAGAGGTTGTAACTCAAACGCCTTGTGAGCAAAACTTATTTTTTCAGCAATTTTCCAGAAAGTAAGTTCTCATACTACAATAGTAGTTTTTAAGGATTTTTATTCCTATTAAAGTCATCATAACATAAAATGTAGAAACTGAAAATTGAAAAAAGAAAAAAAAACAAGACCTTTATAAAAATCGATAAAGTGCAGTGATGTAGCGCCACAAATCTCGTACCATTAGATTTTTTCAATTTTAAATGAAAAGATAATGCCTTAAAGAGATAAAAAAAATATGCATCCGGTAAAACAAAACACATTGCTCTTTCAAAATGAATCTTTTCATGATGTTCGCTTCATACAGCTTTATGACAATACTTGAAAATTCATGAAGTTGTAGCATCATTAGTATTTGAGTTTTTTACCATTATGAATTTTCGTGCAGGAAATATCAGGAAATACCGCGGTGCTAGCATTTTAAGGACGGATCTCAACGAAAAATTCTCAAATATTCGACACATTTTTTTGTTAACGAATAATAAGAATGAAGATTAAAATTTAACGTTGACATCAACGAAATTATCACAAACATATTGCAAGGAAGTGTTTTTCACCATGTGAAAAATTTAAATAGCAATAATATCTATTTTCAATATTTAATTTACATATTCTGTGTATTGCTAAATAATTTTCAAAAATAAGTAATAAAACAAATTTTCATTCAAACTTGAAAGTAGAATATAAAGTTTTTATATGATTAAATAAACTGCATCAAATTGAAATGGATTAGATTGTAATCTTATAACAATTCAACTTTATTGAATAGCCTTACCATTGCTGTAAGACGAAACAAAGAAAACGAATTCTTTCCACTTTTTGAGCGAAGTCAATATTCATTCAAATGAAACTAGGCTTGTGAGCATCTCGAACTTTATTATTCTTTATCAAATGGTCATTCTAAGGTTGATAGTCATTGAAGAAATTCTGACGTCATTCTGAACATTCATTTTTAGGGACTGGAACAATGGACTTTTCCTTTGCTGGTGAAATTTGAAAAAAAACGAATAAAAAATAACCTTAAAATTAAAAAAATCTTTCAAACAAAAAATTTATAACTTTTCTGGAGTAAATTAGTGTTATTATTACAATCGTAAATATCTAAAGAATTTATTAGTTTCATTGAAGTGATTGATATACATTTATTAGCAGTTTTTGAACTAGAAATCAGGATTAGTTGGTTGAGCAAGAAAAAAAAATCCTAGCGTCGAATGATATGTGCGGAATGAAATTTCAATGAAGAATTTGAATTATTTTAAGTATTGAAATTCAAACACTAACTAGAAACTACTGCTTCTTTCTAAATCCGATCATAACTTTGAAATGTTGTACAGCTTATTAGCAGTTCTTGGACTGGAAATCAAGATCTGTCCAATTTTTTTCGAACAGATAAATTACTTGGGAAATAAGCAACAAGCCTTAAGCTGATCTAATAAAAATTTTCAGCATAATTTTGAAGTTTTTCTTTCCTGATTCGAACATTTTTTATTCTATGTCTTAAGGTACTTAATAAAAACTGTTTAGAATGTAATAAACTGGATGACATTAGAAATAAAATATACTGAAAAAAATACTTAATCAGTTCGATGAAAAAAACTTTAAACTTGTGTAACATAAAAATTTTTTGCAAAGGAGAAGTTGAAGCGGCATACAATTGCATGCTTCAGCATTAAATTTTGTTCGATATGCAGAAAAATTATTTTTTCCACCTGTTTATGACAAATGCCTTGAAAGTTATAGTATTGAAATTTCTTAGATCAAAGCATTAGTATAAATAAGGATTGCCTCCGGAACAGCTGGAGTTCATAGCTCTATCTCATTATTACTTATTTTACGAGAGTTTAAACACTTGCTCATTTGTTGCTATAAAAGATTCTGAATTCTTTTCATATTTGGCTCTGGCTTTGTGGAAAATGTTATTCGTAAAAAGAAGTAAGCATCTGATCAATCTCAAAAAAAAATGATTTGGTAAATGGAGGAACTCAAGTTAGTAATTTAAAGATAAATACGACAGACAAGTCATATTGATGAATTCAAAAAAAATGAAATCGCATAATCCTAGCAGCGCAGCAACGGAAGAAGTAATGGCTGAGATCTCATTGCGCGAATTCAAAATTAATGGACAACTATTTAAATAACTGATAAAGATGTATTCAAAAACAATCAATTAAGTGAAATAATACTACTTGTTGCTCCAAATGCAATTTTTGGCTGGTCAACTAACCGTGTTTTTGATGGAAGTTAGAAAAACAGGGAGCTAAAACTTTTTCTAGAGCAGTAGTAAAAAAATATTATGAATCGTTAGTTTTAAAAGTTTCAGTGAAGCGAAAAACTTCATCGAAGTCTGTAGGTAGATAAAAATGCGATAAATCATTAAGCTTATCATATCCCCATCACAACATAAACATAAGCATTCACATCATTTTTCACCTGCCATTTTTCATCTGTTCATTTTTTGTTGAAACAAAATTTGATTTTACTTCTATTTATATATCTTAACGATATCGAGCAAAAAGGAATTTTTCAGTATGTCTGGTTTATTTGAGATATTAACTCAATCATGCTTCAATTCATATGGTACGCCCAGATCGGCTTGCTTGTTGTGACGACTCCCACTTAACCATCCTAAATATCTATGAAATCAGTTTTGTGATTTTTATAATTAATTTCAAAAAATCAAATATTATGCAAAACGTCTAGTATTTGTATTTTTTTATAATTAATTTCAAAAAAAAAAATCAAATATTATGCAAAAACGTCTAGTATTTGTATTTTTTTATAATTAATTTCAAAAAAAAAAATCAAATATTATGCAAAAACGTCTAGTATATTGCTGCTTATATTAATGACAGCTAGTTATGGAATATCACCGATCGTTAATTTCAAAAACAATTTGGAATTAAGAATGAGGCATTTATAGACTTAGAATTAGACCCATCATTATCTTAATGAATGTTAGCTGAACTTCCATAACAAAAAATTGAAATGGCTTAATTTGATTTTAAATTCAGTTTATTTCCTGTTAAGGGGACGTTTCCAAATAATACTAGTATTGTTTAAAAGATTCCAATCAAAATTGCAAATTATATTGCAAAAAGTCAATAAAATAATGTAAATAAATGACGTAATGAGCAGGGAGACTGACTGTACTTCTTTAGAGTGACCATTTTCATGAACGATTAATACAATTCATCCAATACAATCCGATGACTGAGTTCGAAAGAAACAAAGTGTGACTGATGGATGTGGTCACTAATTAATATCCGCATTAGTGACACGAAATATTCATAGGCTAATATTCCACATAAAATTTTACGTCAAAATAGAGTTCCATCGAAATGTTTTTTTCTAAATCATTTTCCAGTGAAAACTGTGCTTATGCAATATCAATGATTTTGATAAAGAGTATAAAACACACTTTTTTAAATTAACATTCTTTTGCACTAATCTTTAACAATGAATTGTCTCTTGCTCATAAGTATTGACCTGCAGTGACAGTAAAACATGAACTGGTAGAAGTTCTAGGAAGTTCACATATCATTTTTTTTTAATCCACAGAATTTAGTGACTTTAAGTTTCATTCAACGATAAATATAATGATGGATGTGATAAGAAAGCGACTTATTATCAACAAAACTGTTAACATGTGACACTTTCATTAATTATTTAACATTCTCGAGAAAATCAACTTATCCGTCCTCTGGTGTTCCACTGAAAGTGTAATGAAATTGCAAATGCATTTAATTTCTTTCATATTTTTCCGCTAGACTATAAATTACAGATTGAAAACATTTATACAGCACCAATTTTTAAAAAATGCGGTTTCGTCCCGTCTTTCTTTTTTGTGATTCGTTTATTGTGAATTTGAATCAAAATCAAAGTGATTAAAACCTTTAGGATTCAACTTCATAATTTAATAAATACTGCAATGTAACGATTGCTGGATTCTACCCTGTAAGACTAAAACTAATTTTTAATATTTTTAAAGTTTTCAATTTCCTTACAGCTGTGATCTTTCCGGATTTCCATCGGAAATTTGCGACTGCTTACAATCAAAACATAATGTCAATCAGAATTTATTCCCATTTACATTCAACAAATCGATATTTATTTTAATGGGATTAATGGAAATGCGATGCATTTTATGTTCTTTCTATTGTTCAGTGCAAAGAAGGATTTATGATAAATGTAATTATTAGAATAAAAGGATCGAAGAGAAGTTTTACAAAGAAAAAGAAGCAGAAAGATAGCATTTAATCCAATTTCTAGACTAAAAAAGGAAAAGGGTTCATAAATGCCTTCGAATAAGCATTTATTAATTAACTGCCTTATTAACCATCATGTTCCCGCTAACTATTACCATCATTATTACAAAAAGGAATACAGTAATTTACTGATATATTCATTGTAATCGATAAGAAGACAAATATTCTGCTTAATTATCCTATTTTAATGCTTTATAAAACGTCTGATGGGACGAAAATTAGCAAGTTACGACGCCAATGAATATGTGCATCAGTAACGATACTGCACCGCGGTTGGTTGGTTGGTCCGTCGATCGGTCGGTCGGTCGGTCGGTCGGTCGGTCGGTCGGTCGGTCGGTCGGTCGGTCGGTCGGTCGGTCAATGAGTGAGTGAGTGAGTCAGTCGGATACGTTCAATGCTATTTTTAAGGAGAGAGTGGAAAGCAAAGATTGTCAAATGGGGAGCTGTGCGCACGAGATACGAATGCGCTTGCGGCGGAAAGGATGTAGAGAGAGGACACAGGTGATCACGGTAATATTGGCAGTGGGATGGCGCTATAAAAAGAGTATGGAAAACAAGCAAAGAGAAAGGGAAGGTTATAATCATCTTTCATTGGAGGTGGGAGGAGAGAAGGGAATAGAGTAGAGGTGAGGTGAGGTGAGATGCGACGGTACAGCAATCACTGTCACATCTACTACGACGCCAAATGAAGACACGCATACCTTTGACCGGATTTTTTATACATTTACTTTGATCGAATCGTTTTCTTCTAGCGCTAACTGTATAACCTGCCATAGCTACTTGTCCTCACTTCAGTCTTCTGTTATCAGTTTATTCCTAAATTTCATAGATCGAACATGTTGAAAATTCGATATCTGTAAAAAGCTGATTTTATTATTTAATTATATTCTTTTCCTACTTGTTGATTTACTAGTGGTCGTGTTGCCGTAGTTTACACTAATACTTTGAAGCATTTCATGTCTGGTTAGTGTATGGTACATTAAATATTGATCGTCATCGAGTCATTTAGAATTTTTCAGCATTTGAAAGATCGCCAAATTTCTTTTCTCATCCTTCGAAACCCGGTCTTAATATCCGATAATGGAAGGATAACAGTCAAATAAATAATACTGAGATGGATATTCTAGGAGCTAAAAGCAACAGGAAAGATAATATTCCATAATAAAAGTGATAGATGGGAAGTATCGAAAGATATAAATGAAAAGTTAAAACAGCTCGCATTAGAAAGTTTATGCACGGTAATCAGTTGGGGATTGCTTCTGATGTACTTTCTTGGGAAGATTAAGGCTGCTTCAGCGTTTACTTCCGTTATTTTTATTTCAAGGATTACAATTTTAGAATGTTCTCTTTTAATCTCATTGAATTATTGTTGATGACAGCTTTGAGAAGCATTATTCATGTTGTAATAATAGGAATAATTAAATGCTACTGCTTTGTCCAAATGAATGCAGTCATTATCATCTCAGCCATTTCTTTAGACTTTGAAACAAGGTGGTAAGCTGTATTGTTAATTTGACTATTGCTAATTGAAGAATGGAATGGTTCAGGAAACGATTGAGCCGAGAGCTGATTCATAGGGAAATTGTGATGGAAATTGTTTGAAATTCTTCATTTTTTTCAATCTCGTACAAAGTAAACAAATATTTATATATTTGTTTACTTTGTACGAGATTGGAAAAAAGTAGTGGCGGAATTTGACTTAGGTACGAGGAAAAGGAACAAATTTGCAGATCTTGATGGAATCAAATGAAGGTATACGAGTTCTTTGAGAGTTTAAGGTAAAGATTAATCATCTATTTGTTTTCTAAATCTGAATTTACTTTTCATCACATATAGAATGGATTAATTTTTTGTTATTCGAAAACTTTTTTTCTAAATATTTTAATCCATTATTTGACTTTGTTTAAAAAAAGCCATTATTTAAATTAAAATTTTTCACTTGTAATTTTATGTCAACATATTTCATTGTAAATTTCAAATGCAATCCAAATGGAATTAGATCTATTCTTGGCAGTATGCAATTAAATCGTAAGCAGAATAAAACCATAATTTAGCAACTTTTAATGCTGCAGGATAAAGCTGAAGAATTGCAAAGATCACTTTGATCACAAATGAACCCTTTATAATATTGTTAAGTAACTCATGACGATTTCTGTTTGTTTGTCCTTTCATGATGACCTGTTATCATTCGCTCCATAAATAAGGTATCTACTTGGGAATGATATTCACATATTACTGTTTTAAGGACGAAATGTGTTACATTTTAATCAAAAATTTTATTAGCAGTGATTAGTTAAATTCTCGATAAGCTTGCTTTCTTTCATGGACTTCATTTTTCGAGTCTCTACAGCGATCTGTTTATTAGGAGTATTTTTTACTCGCGCAGTAAATCTATGACGTTTTTTAGATAACAACGTTTTTATTACCATTATCATTGATATAGATCGAAACTGCGGAATTCTTCACTGATTTTTAGTCCTTACTGATATGACAACAGATTTAAATAAACCGGTTCTCGATTTTCTCCGAATTGAAAGCATGAACACATATCAGAATCATTTATAATTCATGTTTTCTTTAACAGTGAACTGAAAGATGTAGAATTGAGTTGGCAGCAAAATTTAAAGTTTTGAAATTTTGTTATAATTGAATTTTGTTATAGGGATTAATTTTATCCAGTTAGCGAGTATTTTTTCCACTTACGTATTGTTTTTCGTTTTCTTTTTCTAATTGATTAAAAAATATTGCCAACATCATTTCATTGAAATTTAGAAAACATATCCGACGAAGTTTGCGGTCGCTGATTGAAAAGAAATAATAAGCGCTAATCGATTTTCATCAATCTTCTGTAATGAAAAATAAATAAGTTTGAGGCTTATTTGTGATAAACGTGCAAAAAAAATTTTTTTAAACAGCTAACATATTTTTTACCTATCATATTTAATTAAATCATTTAAATGAAATTCTTGAAGAACACATTGAAAAACAACACGCTGCAAATGATTTCTCTCCTCGGCAGATTTACCCTCATATATACTTATTTGAATTTAACTTTTATTTCAAATATTTTTGCATCACTTTTGATTATCAAAAATAAAAATTTTTGATTTTGCTTTCTATTTTATTGCAAATCATTTTTTTAATAGCTAGCATCTTAATTTTCATACATATTTCCTGATATCATTTTCCCTGTGTTTAGAGTACATTTAGATTGTAGTTTCAAAGTTTAAAACATCAATAAATTACTATCGTACATCAATCGTAACTCAGCAATTATTCCTTAAAAGCGATAGGTGGAATGAAGAATTCACAGAATTATCTCACAATGAACTTTTTAATTTCTCTTTTTTCAATATGTCTAGCCGCTTTCTTTTGATCTATGTAGTCTGTAATTCATACAACATTAACACGTATCGGATGTTAGCTATAAAAACATCCGATACGTGTTTTGGCTGTTTGCATTTGTACTGTGCCATACCTAATCTCAATAACTTCTAAATACCAATGTCATGTAATTGTATGCGTGAACTTCACACGTATACATGCGTACGTATATATCAGGTTTGAAAGCGATAAAAGGATTGATTAGACAATAAAGAGATAGATTATATGGAAGAATGTTTGTTCATTACAATTGTCCATATATATAATTAATTATGATAAGAAGATCGAATGTCAGTGGCAGCCTAAATGCATGCACCTTATATGTGAACTGTTAACTTCGAATTAATTTTCAAATGCGGACATCCAGAAGAAAATTAATTTGATAGTACGCGATGTGCGCTGTTTGTAATTTGCAGCGACCCAGTTGTTCTGAATGTCGCCCTCTCTGTGCTCGTCCTAAGTTGCGCGCACTTTGTCACTTCCATCTTCGCATCCTTCTCATTCCACCGTTCCCCGCACAAATCGTGTTTTCATCTCTTCTCTGTCAACAATTTTTACTGTTGTGTTCATTGGCGCCACCTTATTATTACTATACTGTGGATGGTGATAATATTGTTCTTCAGTAGAATTTCTGCATTTTTGTGCAATGATGCGCAAATGACCACCCGAGAAATCGTCTTGTGCTTCAATTCATTCATTTTCAATTGTTTTATAGGAGAAAAAAGAAATTAATGTCTAAAATGTACAATCTTTGATGGATCGCTAATCACCGCTAACTTATGAGGTAGAATAAAAATGTTTAACTTCTTGTGAATGATACAAATTGTCTTCACTGGATTGCATACTTTAAAATGTTTTAAGTATTAAACATTAATTTTAAGTTTTTCAATAAATATCATAGAAAATAGCTGAATTGATTCCTTTTCAACATTTGTTTTTGCCAGAAAATGATAATTTATTCCGGTTCATAGGGCGTGAGATGATTTATTCGATAATTTAATTAATTTTACTGCTACACACTCTTTAGATACCGTTATAGGAAACAAAAGGGAAAATGAAACTGTGGTAAAGAATTTCGAAAAAAAAAAACGAAATCAACAGCCAATAATAAAATAAGAAATTTTTTCATTTTTACATTAAAGAATGAAAGTGTTGTGTAAACTATAGCAAATCAACTTTGATTATTCAGCTTCTGATCAAATCACTCATCGCATTAGATTTCCATTATTCATGCGATAATCCGGTTCAGGATTGGATAAATGAAGAAAGAAATAGGAAAATTATGTGAGTTCATAACGATCGTTTTGTGCATTTAGATAACAATGATCTCGTTTGATCGCCTTCTTTTACTTTGGAGCATTCTGTACGTCGCATCCGTTTGTGCGTGTCTGTGCAATATCTATAAATGTGTGGATGCGACGAGCAGCATGCGGCATACGTGAGTGCATGTTTGCGAGACGATGTGTTGTGTGCAAACGGGGGGGGAGAATCTAGCCATAGTATTTTTCAATGACCGTCCTCGTTTTATGACTATTTCCAGTGGAGTAATAGAGACATTTTTCAAAAATGAAAATTTTTGCATCTCTTGCTTAAAAATGGTCCAATTTCATTACATTCTAACATCAATTGCTCGTCGTTCATTAAACCTTTTCATTCCACTTACCCTCTATTATCAATAGCCGACGTCAACTGTACTCAAAAACATATCATTTTCTTTCTAATCAAATTGTTCGGGAAATAATTTACTTAATTTACGTACTTTAATGAGTTCATTGGTCAGTATTCTAATTACTGATTTGTTCCTTCTGTCACCTGAAATCAGTTAATATGTAATCACATTAACAGTACATTTGCTTCGCAGCTAATTTGTCAAATTTTAGACTAATTGAATCTGCAAATATATTTCATTGAATGATAGAAGATAATTTTAGTATTGGGAAAGTGATACGGTCTTCAATACCTTGCTCTTGCTATTAGAAGATGAGTCACAAATTTAGCCCAATGAAATTTGGAACTCACCATGAAGAATGTAGTGCTGAGATCTCATCCATATAGATTACGGCCTGCATTGGTTTGGCCTTGACATTTCACCTTGAACTTTTAG